GGTGTTGTGGGGGGGGGGGGGGGGGGGGGGGGTTCCAAATTTTACTCATCATTCAGACTTATCTCAAAAGTGGCATCACACTAGTTCTACATCAAAAGAAGCCATAGGTATAACATATAGTGCTTATTTGGTGGGGATTTTGGTAATTGATTTTTTCACTAAGTGGGTCTTACCTGTGAGCATAGTTATCAGACTCGGATCGAACCTCAACCCGGACAATGTAGTGGGTCAACGGGTCAGTGGTTTAACCGGTGACCCGGTGGTTCAACCGGCGGGTCAATTCCTATAAAAAAATATTATTAATTATTTTCACTGAATAATAATTTTTTTCCCATTTTCTACTAATAACTATATTAACCTCATATTATTCTGTTAACTATATATCAATTTGTATTCCAATTTCACAAATTCTAGATCATATAGAGAGAAATATGGATTTGAAACAATAAAAACAACAATCAATGATTAAAAAAAACTACTTTATATCCATGTTACAACATCACAAGCATTAATAAAAGTTTTGTCACTCTCCACGTTACATGCTACCAGTTAATCAACCCTTGCATTAAAACATCAAAGCAAAAGACTTATCCCATGATAACTAGAAATTCTAGACGATGTCGACGATTTCTCTATATTGCCAATTATTGGTAAAGGAAGAAGAAATGATACCGATTCAATAAATAAATCAACCGAGAAATGCGAGCTTGATTGATATAAATCACAGTAGATAAGAGCTCAGAGATCCACAAAGCAACTATTCAAAAGCATAGCACATGCACCAACTTAAGCAAAATATTAATCAAATGAAGTTAGGTCATCTAAAAAATAAATTAAAACCACCATTATCATCCATTTTTCAGCAACCAGTAACGCAAAAATACTCGGACGTTAACTGGGTAATAATCCAAACATGAAGAAAAACTAAACACTAAACAGAGTCTGGTCTTTATTCGAGTAAAGCATACATTAGGTATTTTTTAACCATAACATCAAGAAGCAATTGTGGATATACACAAGCTTGCCGTCTGAATCAAATGTCTACCCAAGTGAGGATATACACCAGCTAGAAATGAATAAATACACCACCTGAATCAAATACTACAGCAATGGCTAGATGAAGCCAACAACTTTTTTCATATAATATTATAAATGCCCCCTCTAAATCGATAAATTTAATAAAATTAAAAAATTAAAAAACTACTGGGGTGGCTCCAATACATTGTTGAATACGAAATTACACATTTTTTTTTGTTCTATAATTCATATGCCATCATACCCAGGACAAAATTCCACATCTTTTTGTTTTATAATTCATATTACGAAAAAAAGGGTTCATCTGACAGAGACCAACCTGCTCTTCCATCTTTTAAAACTTGAAATTGGAGATTTTGATTCTTGGGAGTTGTTGAATTGCAAGAGATTGAGACGGCGGCTGAGGTTTTTAATTTTGCAAGAATCCCTAATGTCTTAGAAGTTAGAAATTGTGAGGAGACGGAGTGGGGAAGAAAACTGGAAGGAATCTGTGAGGAAAGGAAAGTGAAACACGGTTACTTAAGAACCGGTCGGGTCAATAAAAAGTCGGTACCCCGGTTCTATGTAAAACCGGCGATTCTAGCGGGTTGTTGACGGGCTGATTTTTCATCCATAAATTCCTCACAATCGGACTGGATCTGGGTCCGGTTCGACGGGTTCCGGATTGAACCGGCCGGTCCGATCCGGGTTTGATAACTATGCCTGTAAGAGAAGAATTAAAAAATGAAGGTTGAAATAGTGAAATAGCGGTCAAAAATTAATTTTAATTGAATTAAAATCTCTACCAAATATGCTAATAATCATATATCTTAATCTAGAAACAAAACTGACCGAGGCTCAAATTAAGTGGTCCACTTGCAAATTCGATTCACAAATTACATAAATATAAATAATTATATATAATTTCCTAAATTAAGGTTAAAATTATAAAAATCTAAATGTGCATATAAATCTATTTTTTTATGGATTAAAATTCTACATCAAAATCTTATTCAATTTCAAAAAGATAAAATTTTGTTTTCAAGAATGAAAAAAAAATTATTCTTCCATTATCAAGAAATAGACCCATTTTCCATAAGAGATATTTGGGTCTGTTTCTAAACAATATCAAATGAGACAAAATTGACTGAATACCATTTAGGAGAGATTGCATCATGATCCTTAACCTATTAATCAAATTGTAACTTTTTTCTCATATTTTTTCTCCCTAGCACCCTATTTGCTCAGGGCAACCACCCTTCACAATTCCTATTTCCAATTACAATTCCTTCAACTTTCCCTCTTTACTTATTTGTCAACATGATGCAGCCCAGTAATGTTCTCATATAAAATTAATCTTAACTTCTTTCTTACTTCTTTCACAATTATTTTCTACAGAATTCACAAAAGTGCTTACATGATGGTTGATGCAATTTGTATATTGGAGTTGAGGAGGGTTGCCAATTGAAAGGAGATCAAACCGGTTAATATACCCGTGTGCCGTTTCTGAACAATCTACCATTTCAACACTAAATTGAGGAAGACCCATATGCCCAGTAGATGTGCCATGATGAGTTTTGGCCTATAGTGGTGGTCTGCGATCATGGGTCTCACTACCAATGCTGAAAAAATGCCCTGAAAGCTGCGTCTACACTGTCTTCGAATGGGCAGCCTATTGATTTCTATTCTGTGAATTAGGGGCAGTTGTAGACCATGGAAAGGATCGCCCTGGTGTGAATAATCATCTGGGATGATGGGCATTACATTGGTGTTGCTGGAGGAGGTGATTTCAGCAGTTTTGATGCACGTGGGTAGCTCATTTTAGCTCAATATTTGGGCGAATTCTAGTGATTTTGAATAAAGATGGTGGGTGAGAATTGTAGAGTGTGATGAGGGCTTTCTAATGGTATGGTGGTTCGATGGGTTGGGTGGTGGTTGGCCGGAGTTTTAGGGTTTCAAAGGAGGTGGCTCCATCTTCTATTTTAATTGCAATGACCTGCCATTTTAGCCGTCGCTTGAATGTATCAAATGAAGACGAAGAAAAGAGTTTTGTAGTTTACATGGGATTAATATATGGATAGGTCTCGTAAGTATAGTTTTATATGGGCTAAGTTTTGTTTTGTAAATTGGATGATTGTGTGAATAGAAAAAAAAAAAAAAAAATGGATGTTAATGAAAAAAATTGAACTTGCAATGCTGCAAAGCAAATGTTGCGAAAGTGAAAGCCTTCTACAACATTTGACAAATGTTGTGGATGAGAAATCTTTTTACAACGTTTGATAAATATTGTGAAAGAAAAACTTTTTCACAATACTAAATAAACGTTACAAAAAGACGATATTAACAACATTCACTTAAAAAATATTTTCAAATCTCAATTACTAAGACTAATGACAACATTCACTTATTAGAATATTGCAATAGACCCTTTTAGCAATATTTAATTAATAAATATAGCCTTTTGCGTGTTGCAAAAAGGTATTTTTGTTGTAGTGATCCCTATATTTCTTAACAAATATATTTCGATAAGAATGAAATACTTATTTATGAGATCCAAAAATATAATTGAAAATAACCCAAAAATTGCATAACCAAAATATCATTAATTTTATCTTAAGTTCATACTTTATTCATTTATTTGCTATTCATCATACCATGTTGTAATCATGTAAACTTGTCATTGCCATCATATTGTATAACCTCAAACATTTAATTATATCCATTTTCTTAAGATAACAAAATAGAAATCTTCATATTTATCCTGTGAATATTTCACACTTTAATATACCATCGAGATTTTTTATGCTAATTTCCAAGTCTCAATAAATTTCAACGTTGTCATTCTTTACTCTTTTCTCCTTTCTTATTCCCTAATTTGTGTAGTCTCATTCCATTCCTTAAGTTATACTGCATGTATGTGAAATATGCTAATCACTCTTTCTATTTTCGTTACCTCAATGCATGTTTCTTGTACTACAACTCAAGAATGACAATCAATGTATATTTCTTTGGCTGACTTCATTCTTATCTTTTTACATGATTCACATAAATATACATGAATGTACATATTCATTAAATTATATTTTTTAAGCAATAAATTAACACATAATAAGTATTAGGAAGTTTATCATATCTTTCTCACATCCCTTACAAACAAATAACCTGTAAATAATCAAAATAATTAGAATCACCCAAGAGCAAGCTATCTAACTAAAACTTGTTGCTTGTGAGTCAATGTATTTTAGTTGTGTTTCCTTCGTTATTTTCCTTTTTTTCCTTTTTTTTGCTCGAGAACTAGCAAAGCATTAAGTTTGGGAGTGTTTGAAAATTGTGTTTTACTCATGATAATAATATTGTTTAAACTTGATAATCTATTTGATTCTAAGAGTTTTAGAATGTTTTGATATGTGTTATCGTGTTGTGTTACATTTTAGGTAAATTGGTGGAAATGGTGTGAACGTTGGAGCAAAGAGAAGAGGACTTGGAAATAGGCAAAAAGGACAAGGACTTTAGCAAGGAGAACAAAGGAAATATGTGCTAAAACAAGTAGCACATCAAAGATGTGGCAAAAGCTAAAAAAATAGAAGATATACAAGGCGCTACCATCCAGGCGCTACTCAATGAAACTAAGAAGCAAAATTTGAGCCCCTCGGGGCACAGTTCAACTGGTGGATCAATCAACATTTGTCTTGTTTCCAGCGGCAGGGTGGAGGTTCGAATCTTGGTGGGAACCTGCGGTCAGATTTATTTGGTATAGAGCAATCATTTTGGAGGAAGATCTCTTGTGCACAAAAGTGTACAGGCAGTGGGGGAACCTGTGATCCAGTTGAGACATAACCCGCGATTTACCCTCTCCAAGGTCTTAGGGGCAAGGATCTTGAGGGTCTAGAATTTAGTCTAGTGTAAGCTGGGATACCTGGATATAAAAAAAAAAAAAAAAAGGCAAAATTTGAGATGAACTTTGGCACCTAGGCATTGTCATCCTGGTGCCTAACCACCATGCAAACCAGTAAAGAAACATTTAATATGCAAGGATGCAGTGCCCTGGCATACCCAAGGCTATGCCGTAGCACCTATGTACTGCCCAACCAAGAGACGTGACAGCCTACTGTTATGATCCAAGTACTTAGGTGATATTCCATCTATGTTTTTTTTTTGTCCTTAAAAAGGCCCACACAACTCAGATTTTGAGATAGAAATAAAAGGAACCATAAATACAACTTGAAAGAGATTTTTGAAGCAGAATTCGACTAGGCGATTCAAGAGATCCAAGCAATTAAGCGAAAGGAACGGTGAGAAGAAGATTGATCAAAACTCCAAAAATAGTTTTTGTCTCTTTTCTTCTCGATGTTATTAATCATGAATTTGATATTTTCTTATTCTTGCATCATAAATTAATTCTTTCATCTAGGGATTACTGTAATCTAAATTTGAGATTATGTTTTGAGTTTCAATAATTATCTCTTTGAGGTTTTTGTTTACGTTTATTTGTATTATTTGTTCTTCATACTTTCAATTTGAGATTATGTCTTGTATGGCACATCTCTTAGAAGAGGACCATGTACGGGAAATTTCTTAGAAGAGACAAATGAAGAAAGATGCCTTCATGAATTCGAAGGCTAGTAGCTTTGAAAATAGGCTGCGGGAGATTATGGAACCTCGTCTCTACCATGGAGATTTGGTCTCTTCATAGAGTCTTGATTGAGGTGATGGCTTCACTTCGGCTTTCTCTTTTTGATAGCCTTGGTTGGGCCATGCAAACCAGTGTTGTTGAGTGAGGGCATGAGGTGGCTTGTTAGCTGATTGCCATGTGGACAATGATTTGAACCTCGTAGGATAAGGAGTAACATGACCTATTTGTAATATTTGAAATGTTTTGAGAATCCTCAAGTTTTCCTTTAGTTATTTTCTTCTTCTTCTTCTTTTGTTTATCTAAAGAAGATGGCAAATTTATCATTTTAAGGGTATTTAATGACAAATATGGACGGAAGGAAGTGATTTGAAATTAAGTCAAAGGTCAAGGATGTCTAATGATAAAAAAAGATTGAGGGTGTGTTATTGACATATTGCAAAGGTTGGCAACAAAAATTACAAATTCTCTTTAAATATATTATTCTTTGTGCATTTTTTCTTAAATGTTGTGACAGTTAAATTGACAAGAATTAAATTAAACAAAAAAGGTATATAAAAATATATATATACACCTAATTATATCTATGTTGTCCCTATAATTATTGGGACCTATATGGTTGCATAACTTGCACACTCTCAGTGTCGACCTTGTATATTTACGTTACAATTTCACATTTCTTTCCTAACGTGTGGTGGTCTATATACGGAGCTCATTTTAAACATTTATGATGTGTGAATATTTCAAATAAATAAAGCATTGTTATGAGATTTCTCTATTTACATTAATTGTCTTCTTCTTTTGACTAAATTTTCTATTTCTTTCCATTAATTTTTAGCCCTCGTTTGGTCTCCATTTTTATCTAAAATGCATTTTTTCCATCAAATCAATGTGGGACCTACACCAATATTTTATCATTTGATTTGAATTGAAAAATCCTAAGTTTCCAACTTTACCCTTTGTCAAGCATTCAGGAATTTGGCAGCTTCCACATATTGAAAAGTCAAATGAATTGATTTCTTACACATTTCCCAATACTTCATAACACATCCCCACCAAACGTGTTTCAATTATTGTACATGAACTGGGCCCTCCGTCATCGCGCACCGTATTGGTTTAAAAGGTTGTCACAGAAATCCGGCAGCAATTGTAACATTACGCGAACCTAAAATGCATGCTGATCGTGATTTTCACTTCACGTTAATTATCGAATTTTTCCAAATAAATTTCGAAAATGAAAAATGATAAAGACCATCTTGAAATTCAATTGTACAATAATTCCAGCGTATATGTTCGTTGTAAATAATAAAATGTTTTTGTACGAAAACGGGTTATGTTTTCAAAAAAAGTAACTTCGGAAAATAAAAAAACTTAACTTTGGAAACATTTCACTGTATCAACTGCTCTCGAGAGTATCTACGAATAGAAGCATTTTAATTTTATTACGAAGCGCTACGTACAAAAATTTGAAATCGCACGGTGAAAATTTGTTACGCGAAGAGTAAAGTGAAGGGTGTGTTCGAAATGAAGGAAAAATACGACTTCAAAGTGAATAATTATTCGTACGAAACACTGCACAACTGTGTAGGTCCGGAGAAAAAAATTATAGTTCATTGTACCGAGGAAAAGCATACCGTAAACACGTTAAAAACGGGAAATACTTTGACCTATGATATTTTCCTGAAGGATGGTCAATAATTGGCCCGTATTGCATTTCACTTTTTACACCCAAGAAAGCAAACATTTTCATAAGACGTACATGCAAGGCTTTTGAATATTTTAGAAACGTATTGGCATCATGGCTGCTGCGCCATATAATCTCGAAGTCTGTCCCACTCACTTCGTTGTATTTCCGGTGCATGTATTTCGGCCTGTATTTCATCTTCTACGTTGGGAAGCTCCACCTCAGCTGCATCTTCATCCACCTCCGCTCTCGTGAACGCTGCGTCAACCACTCCTGAATGCCTCATGAAATTATGTATTCTCATCGTCGCAACTACAATGGCTACTTGCGTTCGGAACGGGTAGTTGGGCATGCGATCCAAGATCTTCCACCTTTCTTTCTACACACCGAATGCACTTCCAATGACATTTCTGCAGGACGAGTGCCTAAAGTTAAACTTCTCTCGTGCATTTAGAAATCTACGACGACGTCCCGTTCTCTCGTCTCGAAACTGCTGGAAATGGTAAAGTATGTCAAACCCTTTGTAGGGGGCCATATACCCAGGCCGATGGGCAAACTCGGAGTTAACTAAATAACACTTTCCCGGGGCCGGTAATGGGAAATGTATTTCCGGATCATGGATAGCACGTGCAAGCATGCACGCATCATGTGTATTGCCAGAGTACCCTGCAAGCACGAACGTGAAGCATAAATTAAAGTCACAAGCAGCTAACATGTTCTGTGTCGGCACACCTTTCCGCCCTATGAAGTTTACACGATCATGTCGCGGTAGCACAGCTTTTACATGCATTCCTTCAATAGTTCCGATGCA